GTTTATTGTGTGTTTTGTTAGTGTAACCAGTTCGCGGTATGCTACACTCTCAAAGTAAATTGTTTTTTTTTTTAAGTAACCAATCACTTAGATCATGACATAATTTGGTATAATGTAAACTCTCCGTTTGAATCGTTGATAAAGTGTGGCAATTATTAATCTCATGTAAATTTTGTTAACTTTGCAATTTTTCACCTCATACAATATTTCTCTAATCTCACAGTTTTAACCTCAGTAATTTTCCTTTGTTGTATAATTTTCACTGAACGTAAATTTCATTCACTGCAGTTTTAACCTCACATAATAATTTTATTTGCACAAGTTTATTTCACACCAGATCTTTTGTTTTATAAATCTTTACTAGTTTTGTTTTGTAATACATATTTTGTTGATGAATGTTTCGATCGTATAAATTATTCGATGTCAATTTTTAATCTCACATAAGATGTATTTGTTGTTTAAAATTTCACAAGATTGTAAGTATGGCAAATTTAAATGTTGTTTCTTACTCGTTGAAACTTTAACACTTGTTCAGTTGTTGTTAATATCAGAGTTATAAGAGACTAAACATTTAAAAATGGAATTGAGGTTAAATAACACAGAAAACGTCGCAGAAGCGAAATGCAGTTCCTAGTCGAGCTGGCGAGATTTATCGTGTCACCTTTACAAGTCCACAGGTTTGGATAGCTTCAGGGGCGGCCGCCGGGTGTTGTAACGTTCTCGGCTTCTGTCCTTAGCCAAAATCCGACTGCGGGTCTGGGGACCGTAATGGCCTAGTTTCGCACAGCATGTTCGTAATGGATGTGGGCGTGCGGGTAGGCTTTGCGATAGATAGAATCACCGTCGTGGGGGGGAGAACAACCCCAGACCGGTAGCCCCAAATTCCGCTTGTGCTAGAACGCCCCAGGGATACTTTTGTTGTGCTCCTGTTAACTGCCGTAACTTTAAATTTGACGCCACACGCCCGTAATAACTTATATATTTGCATCCAGTTACTTTAATTCAGATTTTGCTTTGTTTTTATTAAATTTGTGATATTCAAATATTTGCATTGATTCCAAACAGATGTATATATAGGATTTTGCGTTTGTTCGTTTTTCATATGTATATGTCTGTCAATTCGCGAGTGTTTTTTTCTTTCATATATCTGAAGGTGTTTCATTTGAAATGTAATATATCCGTGAATATACGATAGAGGGTTTTTGGGGCTGAGGAGTGAATCCTCGTAGCTTGATTTCTCCTGAGAGGGGTGCCATGTTCCAAAAAAAAAACACACACAACGTAGGTTTCCTTTTTGTTAGACGATCACAGCCAAGGCCAAATTTTGAATTTTTGAATTTTTCGCGGGCCTTTCAAACTTTTACTTTTTTTTTACTTTCACATTATGTATGAAATTATGTAGATTTTAAGTGGATATAGTCACATTTTTGTTGTAACGAATTAACACCATTTTCCTTATGTCGCTTGGGGTGCCACAACGAGAAGCAAATGACAACGTCCTGAAAACACGGAACTATCCTGTGCTAGACCACAGGGAGGAAAAGGTTCATGCTAACAATTGGGGACAATTTGAACATCATCACTTTCGAGGAGAAGAAGAGACAAAGTACCTACATACACTGACGGCATTCTCTACAAGTATGCCAAAGGGCCAACAATGAAAATGAACCCGCATTTGGAAACAAGCCACCCACATTTGACAACAAACCAAGAACAATCCGATCCTACAAGCAATTCCTTTCTTGTTGAGAAATCATTCCTGTTTCCAAGACGTAAAGTTTCTTTCAAGTGATACCCTATGGTCGCCACTCTATTCATTAGTCCAGATTTTGAAGAAAATTCGAAGTGGGAGTGACACAGAAGAGAACAGGAAGCGATGTGAGTCAATGCGACTTGCAGAAATTAAGTGGCATCCCCATATTGTAAAAAAGAGCAAGATTAGGGTAGAACTGTAAGATATTAGAGCAGTCTAATCTTAGGAAATTATTGTTGAGACGACAATCTTGAAGGCAAGGCAAATGTCACAGTTAGAAACAAGTTGTAAAGCCGATTTGCCTTCATAAAGAAAGTTTGCCTGATGCAAGGTATTTCGCAAAGAAACGATGAAATGTTTGGGCCAGCAAAGGGGACTTGGAGAATGGCAAAATCTAGGACAATTATTAGGTAAATAATTGAATGTGTAGTGGGCTTGACGAAAGTTCGAGGGTGTGAGAGTGCTTGTCTCCTTAAGACTGTCATACAAAAACAGAATGAGAACGTAAGTTAGTATGAAAGTCATTATATTAATTTTGTAATTAGGTTACGTAACAAACCTTAGAATTAGATATAAAGGTTTTGATTACAACACCCCCTACGACCATAGAAAATGACAATACATTGTAGCTAAGATGAACGGAATTAAAGGCATGCTGTCACTACTAATCGGCAGACGCGGCAAGATGTCGATTGAGAACAAACTTCGTCTATACCAAACAATCAATAGTCCCGCTATGTCTTATGCCTCAGTAAGCTAGAGCTACGAGCCTTCCAAAATCTAATTTCATCGTCCGACAGTACTCTAGACAAAAATTCTCTAACGAACTTTCAAGACCCCCTAGTTCGTTAAGAACACCCAATTGCTTCAGAAGGCGAATACTCCTGTGTTAAAGCAATTTTTGCATGAAATTGCACTCCGAAGCTTCAAAAAACCCTAATCCCTTAGTGAAAGAATCCGTCCACTACGAGTTCGACGAAGAAGCCCAACAACGTCCCAAGCGGCCCCACAGAGCCCAGAAACAGAGACGGCGTGTGATTAAACACGCTGTCCCTGACCACCATCCACGGTCTCCCCCCTTACAGTCACAACGTTTCTAGAGTCAGGTATTGCAGCCGCCAAAATATAGTGATTTTATGACTAATTCTTAATTTATGGCCTCGCCTTTGGGCCCATTGTACCTCCCCAAGTCCATATCAGGGTGTTTTCCCGCTTCTCTACTCGTCAGGCCACCCAACTGCTTGAATGTACTTGAATGTAATGCAAAGGGTGGGAACTCCCTGATTTTTGCCATACTAGGCCAGATGTTCCCTAGTATGGATTTCCTGTAGGAGGCTAGCGCTGGACATTCACGAAGACTGTACTCGGCTGTTGCCTCTTCTTCATTGCATCCACGATAAATTCATCTGCCCTCTCGTTTACTTCGTTACCACTGTGTCCTTTGATCCAACACTAGGTCTACACTATTCCTCTGCGTTACAATACATACCTTAGCGTTAGTCTGCACTCCCAAACCAGCCCGGATCGAACCATGCAGCTTTCCGTCACCAGTATTGCAGACCTGCTGTCAGTAAGTACGCGCAATTTGTTGCCGATTTCACGTTCAGCAACGATTCTATCTCCCAGCATTATTCCCATCAGTTCTATTTGTAAGACAGACGTGTGAGGGCCGAGAGGTACACTGATTTGTGCGTTCAGTTGTTCGGAGTAGATGCCGGCTCAACCACTATCTGTTTTGGCACCCTCGACATAAATAACGATGTCGTCTCTTCCATCTGAATTATCTTTTATTGATATTCTATATATATCTTCTCATATATTAATTTTGTACCCATTCGGTCACAACCCATCCTTAACAAGGGGATTCTGTTGAACACTTCCGTCAAGATACGAGTATGCTTCGTTATGCGGCCTTGCTTGTTCCATACTCCCAGAGAGTGAAGTCTTAGAGTCCTCATTGCCCCTTCCTCTATGTAAAGGTAAGAGGTGCTAACCAAAGAAGTGTCTCCAGAACCGCTCTGGGAGTGGTTCTTATTGCTCCTGTAACACTGAGACACGTCACAAATCCGCTTGCCTGAGAAAACGGTAGAAATACGGCCCTTTACGTATCTCTTTGACGGTAGCACGTGACGGAGTTTGCAGCTGTCGAGTTTTATGAAGGATTCGCTGTAAAATACTTAAAAAGTCAAAGCCTTAAACCCACGATACTTTGGAGGTCGGTATAAGTATAACTAGTAAAAGTGTTCAGTGTTGAATTCGTAAATCGCAATATGTTCAACAGGAATCGTTTGATACAGTAACTTAATTTATAGTAGCCTGCATAGATATTGTAGCCGTCCATAGAGTCGAAATTTGCGAATAAAAATAAAATAAAACCGGCTCAAACGGAGCCGACAACGGCTTGCAAGTTCTGTCACTGCGGCACGCGTCACCTCACACAGGGGTGTATTTAAGGCTGTTTGCACAAAATCTTACGGTCACTGTAATCTTACTATTTTCTATCTACGATAAACGATTTGTCACACAGCTACGAAACCGATGATCTAGAGAAAGATGGAAGTTTGAAAATTTATTTCAACAAGTGTAATAACCGTTTGGTGCAACACAATTGGTTCAAGCAAACTAAAATATGACAGGAAACAAACAGTCCACGTGGACTAGTTTATAGGCGTGTTTGCTGCTAAGATGACTAGGTTTTTCGCTCCACCTGCCTCCGCAACGATGAATATACCATACCACAACTTGTGTACAGTGAACAGAGCTTCGATTTTATTGACGAGATTCAGCTCAGAAATTAAACAGATTATATCATAACGGAAAAAATGACATTTAATATTAAATACGTCTCTGTGCAACGTGTGCCAGAGTGACGTCAGATTTTGCAAGCCACCGTCGGCTCCGTTTGAACCGGTTTTATTTTATTTTTATTCGCAAATTTCGACTCTATGGACGGCTACAATATCTATGCAGGCCACTATAAATATCGACTTTTCCAGCGGAAAAACCGTTGCATTCTTATATTACATAATGTAACATCATATAACATAACATAACAACATAATGATTACATTACCGACTGTAATTATTCTATTTTAATTTCTTATGAAATAAATACATTTCAACTGTGGCATTTATGTATCATGTAATTATGAAATTATGAAACATAAAATATGGACTAACGTATTTATGTACATGCTACTACATATATCGTATAGTTTTTTTTATAGTTTTATTAAATAAGGAAATGTGAATTTTTAGAATTTATAATTAATTTCTTCGAATTTTATAAAAAGTATTACAAATTTTATATCTACAGGAAAAAATATTAATACTATTGGTAGTTGTTTACACGCAATATGCAAACCGCGATGTGACGATGTGACTATATTTTATGCAATCGAATAAGACCTAGAAAAGGTGTGGTCCACATCTGAAGTCGATGATTTAGGGTTTTCAGTACTAATTTCACACGCAGCATTTTCCACGATCTCTTCAACAGTTTCTTTTCCATCATTATGTAATTCGTCCTAAAACAAAAATTAATATAAATTGCTTTGAATTTGCGAAAAGATGCACAGCAAATAGTGCAACTCAAGACTTTTGTGACACAAAATGCAACTGAAATTAGAAGACACAAAAACCTACTTGTGATTTTTTTTCTCTTTGAGTAGAATATACGTTTAGCATGAAATAACTGCATCTGATATTAAAGATTTCATTAATAAATATTTTGTAATAACTTAATAAGTATTCTAAATTTGAATTTATTTTGTTAGTTGTATATTTTTAGAAAAGCGTTATCCCTGTAACTTATTCACACCTGACGACTAAATAGAACAAGGTTCTGTTTTAATGCTCGCATAAAATAACAAGTTCACAAATGCCAGAGACAACATTAGCAGCAAAATCTCATTTGAATTACAGTTGAATAATTTTTTAAAGGACTTGACACTATTATTAAAAAATTGGTCGAAAGTTGCTTCGACAGAACTTCTCTCACCCCTGAAGTACAATGGAACATATTCAGCATTTTCTAAAAATTATAAAATTTAATATCGCGAATTTTCTTTCTTATGAAAACTCGTATAAGTTGAAATAAACATACGTAAATATGTAATCTTAAAGCAAATGTAAATAAGCGTGTTATGCTTATGTTTCAAATAAGTTTCCACTTCACAAAATTTTGTGATTTGCTTATAGGTATATGTGGCTCAAAAAAATTAATGAGTGTGTCAGTTTATTGTACTGATGAAATCAGAAAGGACTCACTCCATTTTCCCGAAAATTTGTAAGTGCAATACTGTCATTATTAGTATTAACTACACTAGAGCTTATTTGAAAGCAGAAGTACACAGCAATAAAAGAGCGCAGATACCAGTATTTGAAACACCATTCAGTGCGCATGAGCACTACTTTCACAGAATCAGCGGCGTCGAGAACGAACTTGCTTTACTCTTTGGACCTGTTTTGTACGTTCTTATACTAACGCGTGCAACGTGTAAACCCCAATAACAACACTAATGGTCCGCCACTGAGTCGTCCATACTCTTCGCCCATTTTCGCGCTTCGCGCATTCGTCCCTCCTGCTCGATGTACTTCTGGTTTCAAATAAGCTCTACACCAATCCAAGTTGATATACGTATCCTTACAAAAATGTTGATCACATAATTTTGTAAAGTAAAAAAGTAAAAACCCATACGTGTAACATGCTTCTTTGCATTTACTGTAACATTACATATTATTTATATTATTTTTCTAAAATGTTGGATACGTTTCATTGTACGTTGTTAAAAAAATGTAGGTACATAAATACATAGTACAGGGTTATGTTTAAATGTTTCTTCATCGCAGGTGGCTTCAACAAACACAAAAAGTGGCAAATATATGGACTGAAACTTGTTTTAAGCCAGCTACGATGTAGGGAACATTTATAATACTGTACTTTTTGTGTGCACAAATATAACAGTTTTATTACCCCATCCGGTTATATTATAAAACTTATAGGTACTGATGTAGTTAATTAAATACATATTTTTCTGCTTTCAATCATATTTTTTAATTACTCTGTATATCCAATTCATTCTATGCGAATTTTTCAAAAAAACTTTACGACAGTCTATTAGTGATTAGGTAACCTTATTTACTCTGAATTACTTTCAGAGCATTTCATCTTTTACCAGCAGTTTAGCAAGATTTTTAAAGAATTTTTTTTAATATTATTTTATTTATTAATACTTTAAAATGTCATATATATTAAGCTTACACTGAAATGTTTGCTACGAGCTCTAGAAGCGTATAAAATCCACAGCACATAAAGGAACATAATCAACGCTGGCAAAAAAAAGGCTGCATACTCCGGAGTCCCTCGGGCCATTGCTTGATACAAACCAAACAGAGAGACGAAAATTGCTATCACAGTTGCTACATATCTTCCGGTTCTGCGTCGTTCTTCCTGCAATAAAAATCAACATAAATACATGTAACTCGCTGTTATGACATTAAACACAACATACATACATAATATGTATATCGGATGGCCGGAGTTTACGTTGCCAAATTTTAAGGAGTGGTAATTTACGACATTCTGATTCCAAAACCATATTCGCATATTATCTTAACATTAACATGTACCGTTAAGCCACAATAATTGTATCTGTCTTTGTTTGAGAGCCACTGTCCTGACTTTTAGTTTGGTGTAGGTACATGTAAAAAGTGTGTATAAAATCAAATTTCTATTAGTAACCGTTGTTTCTTATCTCGTCTGTTGGTCGTTACCCTGGAAACTTCTACTTTATAATCTGTACAAGGTTACAGAGGACCACCAGACCACCACATCACATACTGCAATATCAGGAGCATGCTCTTGCAAACCAATAACAAGGAAAAAGTTTAAAATAATGCTGATGCAATAAGACAACAAAAATAGTTGACATTTAGGAACCAGAAATGACACTTTCACCTGACATCTTCGAAATGACGACCTTTCATTTGTACACAGATCTCGCACACGTTCGAAATTGCCTGTTGACGGCTTTGTGAATATATTGGCGAAACTGCTTTTCGGACCTTATTTCTTCCATATGGACCAACTCCTTTACGTGACCCCACAAATAAAATTCTAAGGGAGTTAAGTCGGGATTCGATATTCATTTTTATTTTAAACGCAAGAATATAATTTAAAGCTATTTTGAAATCATCTGATTTTACTGTTATTATTATTTTTTTAATTACAAAAAGCGTTATCAGAATCTAATTTATTCATTTTCGTTCGGTAGCAAATCGTGCCGGGAAGTGTGAATAAAAAGGCAAGATTAATAGGGGCAAAATCAATTTTATCTTAACAAGTACTAGGCCCGCCCACCCGCCCCCTATATTCTCAGAGGATATGTCATTTGCCGAAATAAGTCTTATTTTAGCAAGTACTAGCCCCGCCCATCCGATCTTTATTTTCTCAGAGGGTAATACTTGCTAGTACGTGGTAAGACAAGTCATATTTTGGCAAATGACATATCCTCTGAGAAAATAGAGGGCGGGTGCGGGGCTAGTACTTGTTAAGGTAAAACTTATTTTGGCGAATGACTTATCCTATGAGAAAATAAGAGGTGGGTGGGAGGGGCTAGCACTTGCTAAGATAAGACTGATTTTGCCCCTATTAAACTTGTAAAAACTTGGTAAATTTAAAAGGTGGAGCAACACTATCAGCAGAAACAATTTAAACAAACTCGAATTTCCCATTTTTTTAACAAATTATAAATATAACATGTATATTTTTATATAATATAACTAAAACAATTCAATAAACGACAGTATTTCCTTTTCATTTTAACTTTCTTCAATACAAACTTTCTATAAGTCGAACTTCTTTCGGTGGCAAGTGACGATTCGACTTAAGGGAACTTAACTGTATTGTCGCCCTGGCACAACTGTGATGTGTAAGAACTTGTTATTAGTAGTTTTATTTTGGCCAAAGTTTCAAAAAGTATCTGTTTTATCTGTCCCCAACACTGCTGGTAGAGGTTCCTATCGATTCAAAGTGGCGGCATAAAATCTCATTTATAATACCCTCTGGTGTTGACTAATACAATTTGGAACTTGATACGCATAACATGTATAGTCTTTGCCATTTCTATTGAAACACCACCTGTTGATTTTGCTTAAAATTTAGCAACTGATAACAGCTTTCGGTTGATTGACAACGGTTTTTAGTTAGAAAATTGTCTGAATATGAACGTTGCCAAATTTACGATTAGCAAGTGGTGTTTCAATAGAAATGGCAAAGACTATAGATCATTTCGTGTTTGCCCATATTTTTAACTTGAATGCTAGGTCTAAACTACGTCGGACTAACTTTTCACGAGATTTAAATAATGTCGGGGGGCTAGCCGCTAGCGTTAATAATTAGATGGTGCTAGGTTAGAACAACGAGGTGCTAGATTTTGAGTTAAATTCATTAACTTGGTGGTGCCAAACTGTACAAATTCGGATAGGATGTTATTACTATAGTCCAGTCAAATTAGCGATCAACCTCGGAATGAGAGATAATAAGCTGAATTTTCGTATATACCTTCATTTTAGCGTTCTAAAAGCTGTCTCAAAAGTCTCATAAAATCTCGTGTCTGCGTCGTAAGTTATTCAAGGTCAAAGGTGAAGAAAAACAGTTTTTTCCGATTATCTCGGTTTCTATTGCTCCAATGATGTTAACATTTATTATCGTAATTGTAGAGCACAAAATTTGGGACAAATTTTATTTGAAACATTTTTTCATGCGCTCAATCGTTTTTGAGATAGAAGGCAGTGAGCGCCCAGCGCTCATCCATACGTACTGTAATGCGATCAACCGTGAATATCTGTGAATACTACCTTTAATTTTGAATAATTTGTTTTATTTATCAGTTAATACATTGCATTTAATAACATTTTACATATTTTCAATACATTCATTTAATGATAATGATACTTACTTACTTTGTGGAATTAAAAACTCTTTAAATGAAATACTTATTGTATGTATATCTTAATTTATTGAAAGTAGATTTTAAGTAGAAACATAACTAAGTACTTTATCTTTCAAATGTGTAAGTTTTTATATATTAGATAATATATTATACTTGTTATATTATTATATATCTAAAAGTTATATTAATTTTTTCAAAGTAAAAATTTAAGGAAGTAAAACGAGTTAATGTATTTTAATTTTATCTTTGTTCAGTACCTGTACATTTCTTACGATTGAAATTGAATTGCAGTGAAAATCTAGAAATCTTTAATAATTTAAAGAACAAAAGTATTAATTTTCTTCTTTTCACCGTCATCTTCTGGACGTTCGGGAATTTCTGTTTCATCGTCATCATCTTCGGTGCCCTGAATCGTTGTTTCCAGATCTTCCAGTTATAATCACGATAGAAAAATAAATTTAAAACCTTCCACATTTTAAAGATATAAATAAATTGAGATATACAATAAATATTTCATTGAATGCGTTTTTAATTACACAAAGTAGGTAAGTATTATTCAATGAATATGTTGAAAATATGTAAAATGTTTAAATACAATGTATTAATTGATAAATAATACAAATTTTTCAAAATTCAAGGTAGTATTCATAGATATTCACGGTTGATTGCATTACAGTACGTATGGATGAGTGCTGCGCGCTCACTGCCCTCTATCTCAAAAACGATTGAGCGTATGAAAAAATGTTTCAAATAAAATTTGTCCCAAATTTTGTGCTCTACAATTATGATAATAGATGTTAACATCACTGGAGCAATAGAAACCGAGATAATCGCAAAAAACTGTTTTTCTTCATCTTTGACCTTGAATAACTTACGACGCAGACACGAGATTTTATGAGACTTTTGACACAACTTTTAAAACGCCAAAATTAAGGTATATACAAAAATTCAGCTTATTATCTCTCATTCCGAGATTGATCCCTTTTTTATCCTAAAATGACTGAAAAAAAAAATGCGCTGAACTGAAGTTATTTATATAAAATTTATAATTTGTTGCAATGGACGTCGACAAATTGATAACAGAGAGCTTTTGAAACGACAGCCCCTATGGAATCAGGCTCATCCTGATCACCACAATAGTCCACTTCTTTCGCAAAAGTGGGGAAACAATGACTAATATATAATCGAAAGTCTCTGGCATCATCCTAAGCTACTGGAAGAACCTGTCGGGATTTTGACACAGTTCTTTGTTAGTCGTGTGATATTTTCCTTTTGTACATCTTCTCTCGTCTTTTCCTTTATAATAAATAATATTTCACCGCAGCACTTGTCTCGAACAACACTACGTCTTCCACGTTCATCTTGAATGTTTTTAATCAAACGAAAAACTAATTTGAAATATATCCATCACAGCTCCAACATATTTCTACCCTTACACACACCGACTCGATTGATTCATTAAATTCAAACTAAAACAAAAAAAACCTATAGACCGAAATTCAGTATATTTAATGAAGACCGCGCTAATTATTTTCGTATAATAGGAATAGGTAGGTAACTACACCTTGAAACGTTAACTTTACAGTTCCCTATAGCCGCAGTCAAGTAAATGAATATATTTCCTGATAGAAACAATGAGTTTCTTTACTCTTTTTTTATCTGCCGTGTAACAAGTTGTTACTTTAACAAAGATCGTAAAATGAAGGAAATGAAAGTATATGAACTGTATATCCTTTTTTTTTAATAATAATGAAAAAACTTTCAGAGTTTAAATAATATATTTGTAGTCACTGCTACACGTGTTTCGGTACACAGTACCGTCTTCAGGCAGAAAACACGTGTAGCAGTGACTACAAATATATTATTTAAACTCTGAAAGTTTTTTCATTATTATTAAAATTAATATGGAGTTTAAACACGTATCAGCCTCATCAATACAAACTGTATATCCGTCAGGGGCAGAAAAGAACGCTGGTTGTATGTAGGTATGTAAAGTTTTTGTCCTTAAATTTTGGACGATTTTTGTTATAGCAATTTTCATATTTTAGATTTTACTGTACTTACTACTTTTTAATTTTTTTATGGTTTAGGTAAAATAAAATTATTGTACCTACGTATTTTTTAGAATATCAAAATTAAAAGAATTTGCTATTCATCTAAAAAAGTGAATTACTATCTTCCTCGATGATTATTAAAATGTTTACTAAGTTATACATATAGACAAACATTGAGAGAAATTTTACAATTACCTGTAGTTTGAACTGAAACAAATGATTGTATTGTATTGTATGAATTCCCTTATTACGTTTTTATCTGCTATGTAACAAGTTGTTACTTTAACAAAGGTCGTAAAAGTCACAAAATAAAAGTATATGGAAGCTGTACTACGTATCTATCAGGAGCAAAAGGGAGCGCCGATTGTATGAAGGTATTTATAGACTTTTCCTCAAATATTGTGTTGATTTTGTTGCAAGAATGTTTACTAATATCAACATAATAAAATCGTTTGGGAAAATATTAACACTTTTATGTTTTTGGAATTTAAATATTTATTTAACTTGATTTTTACAGTTGTTGAAATGTAAAGTAGATTCCATTGTTAAAATTGGCAACAAAACCATATACGAAGTATGGATACCAAATTCAATGGGACTTGACAAGCTGCATACAAACGAACAAATAGATTTTTAAATTTGATTCGTCTACGGGTTATCGTAAAAAAATAAAAATTGCAAGAGCATGAGTAGTCTAATTTTGATTAATGCTTTGCTGCTTTGTGAGATCAAAACATTTAACAACTGTCAGCCTCCTCTAAATGGACTAATAATCCCATCATCACGAAAACAACGGCAGACTTTTTTGGTTCTGGTAATCACAAAATCTGATGAAAAGTTAACAATTCAACAATGTATGCATTCCATTTTGATCTGAAATAATGATCTTCAAATTATCAGCACAAAAACCAGAAACCGAGGTGCTTTTTTCAAACAAAAAACCACCCGTATAAAAACAGCTAACACTGATAATCATCTTTAGTCGTTCGTCGTCGTTAAATAAGATAAGAACAACTTTTTAATTTTTCGTATTATCAATTATGTCTGGTTGTACGTCTCGGTCTAATTGTGGTTCCTGCACCACCACAACAACAAAACCGAAAACCAAAGTTGTAAAAAATAGCAACATCCCTGTTAGGATTAAAAAAACAACCGACAAAAATAGCTGTGGCGCCAGAGGTTGTGCTCCGTGTGGAACTAAGGCTAAGAAACCTGCTAAAACTTCTAAGGTAAGCGAGATAATGTTAATAGCAAGTTCTATCTTTTTTCTACTTTATAGTGTGCAGCTACCGCTATGGGTACTAGAATTCCAGTACGGGTTCAAGAACGAAATACCGTAGCTCTGACAGTTCGTCCAGGTTCACCTTGGAGTCCTACACGCAAGTATAGCAGCGATGATTGCAAGGGTTGCAGAGGAGACGGGTGCAGGTGCTAAAGGGCAGGACCCTCAAGCGAAATTTAGTTTATAGTTATTTTAATGTGTTTAATGTAAGTTTGTGAAAATATGCGTGCTTGTGTGTACGTTAAGCAAGCATTCTAAGACTTAAATGATGATCTTTGCTGTATTACACTATTTTGATGTGATTATAAAACAAGTATATTAGTGTTATAATTTAACATTACTTACTGCCCGCAAAGTGTAAGCGTAAGTGTAACACCACAAGTACAGATTTTTTACAACAATCAGATAACGAGTGGTTACTACGTCGACAAAACTATACAAACCATGCAGCTGAGATTAAAGCGGTAATTTTGAAATATTAATTCCTTCGTATCTTTTGCTTCTAAAAATTATTACATTTGGTTTGTAAAAGTAATTTTGTTGAAAATTTTCAAGAAAATTACCCTATACATGCACGCAGAATGAGCTGTAATCGAAGGCCAAAGAAGAAAAATTCTCTTCTCAGCTTGTAAAAACTTCAGTTTTAACTGAAGTTTTTGAGTCCTGGCATAAACAATAACAAACATTTCAATTAAACTGAACTTAAGATTGATAAAAAGCGCTTTTTATTTTCCTATAAAAAATGCTACATATACACTAGGTACTCTTGATTAACTGAAATAATGTCTCAGTTTATTGCAACCATAATTATTTCAAGGAGTTCCTGTACTCAAACATTCCATCAAGTTAAAACTCGTAGCTTCTGATGTGTCCTCCTGAACGGCACATTTTTTTAGGATCTCACTTACTTTATTGTCATCATTAATCTTTTTCTTCAATTTTGCTTTTACCTCGTCGGTCAAAATGTCACCGGATTCGCTAATAAAACCCATCATCCACAGGCTGTAAATTTGTTTTTCCTGAAATGAAGGATTTATTTTATGAGGCATTCCAGCTTTCCTGAAGCATTCTTCGCGTAGCTCTTCCAATTTAGTCAGGCGTTTTTAATTTGCAGACCACAGTTTATCTTGCAGACTGGGGGTTAAAAATACTGCAATCAAGTCACAACTCGATATTTGCTTATTTCTCAATACGAAGATTATTGATACAAAATTTCAACCCGTTTCTCCGAACCACCCCCAAAACAACTTTGCAGACTGGGGCTTAAAAATACTCCAATCAAGTCAAAATTTGATATTCGCTTGTTTCTCAATACGAGGATTATCGATACCAAATTTCAGCCTATTCGAAGAAACCCTCAAAAATCACCCCCAAAACAACCTTGCACACTGGGGGTTAAAAATGCTTCAATCAAGTCAAAACTCGATATTTCCTAATTTCGCAATACGAAGATTGTTGATAACAAATTTCAATCCGTTCAGAGAAATCGTTGAAAACTACCCCCAAAACAACCTGCAGACTGGGGCTTAAAAATACTCCAATCAAGTCAAAATTTTATATTCGCTAGTCTCTCAATACGGAGATTATCGATACAAAATTTCAGCCTATTCTAAGAAACCCTTAAAAATCACCCCCAAAACAACCTTGCAGACTGGCGGTTAAAAATGCTCCAATCAATTTAAAACTCGATATTTGCTTATTTCTCAATACGAAGATTGCTGATACAAAATTTGAACCCGTTCGGAGAAACCGTTAAAAACTACCCCTAAACAACCTTGCAGACTGGGGATTAAAAATACTATAATCAAGTTAAAATTTGAAATTCGCTAGTTTTTCAATACGAGGATTATTGATGCAAAATTTCAGCCTATTCGGAGAAACCCTCAAAAATGACCCCCAAAACAACCTTGCAGACTGGGGGTTAAAAATGCTCTAATCAAGTCAAAGCTCGATATTTGCTTATTTCTCAATACGAAGATTGTTGATTCAAAATTTCAAGCCGTTCGGAGAAACCCTTAAAAACGACCCTTAAAACAGATTTGCAGACTGGGTGTTAAAAATACTCCAATCAAGTCAAAACCCGAGATTTGCTTATTTATCAATACAAAGATTGTTAATACAAAATTTCAACCCGTTCGGAGAAACCGTTACAAACTACCCCTAAAACAACCTTGCAGACTAGGGCTTAAAAATAGTCTAGTTACGTTAAAATTTGACATTCGCTAGTTTTTCAATACGAAGATTATTGATGCAAAATTTCACCCCATTCGGAGAAACCCTCAAAAAAATCACCCCCCAAACAACCTTGCAGACTGGGTGTTAAAAATGCTTCAATCAAGTTAAAACTCGATATTTGCCTATTTCTCAATACCAAGAATGTTGATTCAAAATTTCAATCCGTTCGGAGAAACCGTTAAAAACTACCCCCACAATAAACTTGCAGACTGGAGCCTAAAAATACTCGAATCAAGTCAAAATTTGACATTCGCTAGTTTTTCAATACGGGGATTATTGATGCAAAACTTCCGCCTATTCAGAGAATAGGAGTTAAAAATACTCCAGTCAAGTCAAAACTCGACATTTGCTTATTTATCAAAATGAGGATTGTTGATACAAAATTTCAATACATTCGGAGAAATCCCTAAAAGAAACAGACTAGGGATTAAAACAGCGTCGGACTGGCTCGCCCGGCTACCCGGCGATCGCCCTAAAAGCTCAGGGTTCCTAACGAATCACTTCAAAAAATTATTTTTTCGCCAGCCGTCTTAAAAGATGTCACTTTTAACGTCAATTTTGGACGGAAAACTTGACGTTTTTGTGAGAGTAAAAAAAAGTTGCGTTACTAAAGTAACAACGTCATTTTTGCCTTTTTAATCCTAGCATTAATTTTTTTTTTCACTAGCAGCCTGGACGCATGCAAATGCCGACTCATTTAGTGGTAGCAAATTCAACTTTTGCTACCACGGGTTCAAAAAGAAAAATTGAGGTTATGTACGCAATGTTTGATGTGATTATTTCTTACAAAATGAACAAATGTGTGCTACAAACATTACTTGAGTATACGCATGGTAGTTGGTAGACGGTAGAAGATAAAATGATTAACTCAGCGACAAGTATAAACGGTTTTCTTTGTGTTGAAGATTTAGATCAAGTTTGATTAGGAATCAAAACAAAATCACGTTGCGTCAAAAAATTGAACGTTTATTTTTCAGTTTATTGTCTTATGGTTTCTACTAGTGAAAAAAATAGTATATTAACCACGGTTGCAAAGCCACTTCTAGACCTCGCACTTAGAGCCCTCGACGCTGCGCGTCTCGGGTTCTAATTTGCGCTCGGTCTAGAATGCTTGGCTCTGCAACCTTGGCTAATAATATACTATTTTTCACTAGCAGCCTGGACGCATGCAAATGTCGACTCATTTAGTGGTAGCAAATTCAACTTTTGCTACCACGGGTTCAAAAAGAAAAATTGAGGTTATGTACGCAATGTTTGATGTGATTATTTCTTAAAAAATGAACAAATGTGTGCTACAAACATTACTTGAGTATACGCATGGTAGTTGGTAGACGGTAGAAGATAAAATGATTAACTCAGCGACAAGTATAAACGGTTTTCTTTGTGTTGAAGATTTAGATCAAGTTTGATTAGAAATCAAAACAAAATCACGTTGCGTCAAAAAATTGAACGTTTATTTTTCAGTTTATTGTCTTATGGTTTCTACTAGTGAAAAAAATAGTATATTAACCACGGTTGCAAAGCCATTTCTAGACCTCGCACTTAGAGCCCTCGACGCTACGCGTCTCGGGTTCTAATTTGCGCTCGGTCTAGAATGCTTGGCTCTGCAACCTTGGCTAATAATATACTATTTTTTAATCCTAGCCTTAAAAAGTTTTCAATTGTTTTATTTTGAGAATGAAATGCTATTAATATTTTCCAATTTTATTATTAACTTACATTGTTATTAATTATTTAAATTTTAAAATTAATATTGAATGTACAATAAGAACAACTGCGATTGATTTGGATTAAAGATTTTCCGTCACTATTATCATTTTTCATGCGGTCAGTAATAATATTTTGCGCTAACACTTCTACCGCTCCTGCTGTCTGGTTGGTCACAGTGTCAAAATTCAGGTTTACTGCTCCCACATTCCTACTTATTCCGTCTTCACGTGTGATCATTCTATTCGTAGTTCCACTACTTGTACCTGATTCTTCTAGGTTTACTTCGCTCACATTCCTATTCGTTGCGTCTTCATGTATTTTACTTGTGGTTTCACTACTTGTACCTGGTTCTTCCAAACGAAAAATTTTTTTTGCTACATCTTTTTTGTGTTTAAGAGACTCTTCTATGTAACCTTCGGCTACACTGTCAGATTTCCACCCACCGTGCCTCTTGAGGGACGTAATATCACCGCCAGAATCCACAAAAAGCGTGGCAGAAGTCCGACGTAGGCAATGTCCGCTGTATTCTTTAAAGTTTTCTAGCTTTAAATATTTGGCTACTTCTTGGGGTACACCACTAATTTTATGAATGCCAACTACTTGTCGATGGCACATTCCGTCGACATATTTAATAAAAAACCGACCTTCATTAAACATTTTTGGACGAAGCGCAACATACTTTTCGTAAAATTTCAAATACTTTTCCCCCATAACCGTAAATGATCTGGGTTTTTTCGTTTTGGTATCAGGAATTTTTACCAATAAACCTGCTTTAATATTTTCAATATCTTCAGTTTTTATTTGTAATAGTTCGTGACACCGACAAGCTCCGCTAACGCCAAAGATTACAACAATCTGAAAAAAATTCGTAAAATAAATATAAGCTCTTCATTAGGTTATAAACATACTTTCATCATCAGGAATTTGAAATCCGGAGCCGTGTCTAAGAAAACTTCTATTTGTTCATTAGTTAAAACCCTTGATTTCTTTGGAACGTATCCTTCTCCTTGTTTCTTTATAAACGCTTTTAATTTTGAATACTTTCCGATTTCTATGCCATTTTTTATATTTAAAGTTGCTTTCACCATGGAATACTGCGACCACAGTGTGGATGACTTCATTTTTGTAGCCAATTCGGAAAAATATACCAATAGGACGTTCTCAGAATAAGTTTGAATCTTTTTCCCTTCGCACCATTTGATGAAGCGGGTATACGCGCACTCATACACTTCGCGCGATTTTGTTGGTAACAAGTTCAGTACCACGTTTTGTGCTTCTTCTAGCACATCGGGAGGTAACTCTTCTTCAGGATTCATTATTAACACTGCAAACGTTTTCACAAAACAATGGTATGTAAGCAAACAAAAAAAGCCTTGACGACGTGGATACCAGACTACTTTGCAGATTGATTCATTTCTGCTCGATATTATTGTTATCAATATTTTGTATTTTTGAGATTTACTTTTTGGCTGGCGAAAAAGTAGTATGTTTCATTCGGATTAAAAGTCAGTTTTTGACTCGCAATTTTGCATCCGCTCGGCTTCGCTTCGCTCCGCCTCGCAAATGCAAAATTTGCTCGTCGCAAAAAATGGCACTTTTAATCCTAATAAAACAATCTACTATTATTATTAAAATTTAATTTAGTTTTTTAATTTATTTTTTTATTATTTTATTGTTAATTATTAATTAATTTATTAATATTTAAATTTAAAAAATATATAAATGACGAATATAGGAGTATTTGTTATAGATACGTGAATTTCGATAATTTGACTTGATGTTTATCGCTGTTAGATAATAATCAGTTGCTACTATGTAAGAATGCATAAGTTCCGCATTTTTTCGTCCAGTCTCTCATTTTAGGGTATGTTTTTACACGTCATTTTCGCTGTTAACTTGGTTCATTCAGTACATACTATATGCTGGTTTTGAGCTCTTTGAGGTATAATTAAACTTTCATCATCAGTCAAAAAATACAAAGTGGTGTCCAGAAGAGAAAATTTAAAATTCTTAAGAAACAAAATCTTAAAGATATTTAAAAAAAAATTAGAGACATTTTTAATTTCTGAGAAACCTAACGTAAAAAAAAAACGTTTTGAAAGAAAGTTTAAATTAATAATAATAGGAAGCTCAAACTTAATTTTATTTGAATTTCAAAAAGAACCCAGAAAAGTGCTAATTTCTTAATTAATTATTATTAATGGGAAAACAGATAAAGATCCGTTATACATATTCAATTCGACGCAAAATTGTCGTCATACAGCCTTTGGATGGTGTCCAACTGTCCACGTCCATTTCTCTAACTTTCTGGTAATTTGTTCTTCTAAATTGGCTTAGCACCCGTTGTTGTAAACCTTTCTACTTAGTATTGCCCAAATGTTGTTTTCGATTGTTCGCACTGAGGGCACTATGGGGGGATTATCTTAGGTACAAAATTTATATTATTTCTTTCTAACCAATCCCTGGTCATTGTAGTATAATGGCATCTTGCTAAATCGGGTCAAAATATTACATCGTCGTTATTATGGTGTTCCCATATATTGTTATGTATTGACCGCGTCACTTCTAATACGGTCAATGAATGGTGCTGAACCGCCAGCCGAAGATATAGCCCATCAAACCAAAATTTTATCTTCAAACTTGGCCTTCGACTTAATTTTATTTGTAATTTCTTCTATATTGTTTGTATAAAATCCATCCTTCCATCTCTGAATAGGCAAACGTAAAATATTTTTCATCGCCCAGCACAACCACACGATTGTCCAAAAAATGATGAATTCTCAATATCCGGCAACATCTGAGAATTCTCTCTAACTGCGATGCTGTATGTTTAGCTCTTTTGCTGTCTCTCAAATTGTCGCTCTGTTTCTGTTATTTTGTTAAATTAAATTTAATTCTGTGTTTATTTGTCTTCTTTTTTTGCTAATTTATATATCATGTGCATGTGTCAATAGTGAATAGTTCTTTAATGAAATAACGATCACTAATTAAATTAGTAATTTTTAAAGTTTGGTTTTGCGAAATTTTTCAGAGTGGCCGGTTTTTTTGCCGGTCAGTGTATATGCATTAAAATAAAGTTATAAAAGGTAACAAAACAATATTTTTCATAATTAACAATGCATATTAAGATCATTACGTGATGCCGCAGTTGTTGTAGGAATTAGCTCGGTTTGCGCGAAGATGGAGATAAAACGACGACCGTAGCAACGAATCTTAACCAATTAAAAACTCAAGTAAATTTGCTGCTGCTGCTTTTATATGCTTTATTATGAAAGTATTTTTGTTTCATGTCTAGTATCCCGCAAACGCTTTCGAGCACGCCACTGGAACAACCGTTTCTCGGAGGACCTAGAAGAACCATTTATGACCCGCGGTAGAAAGCGCGGTACCAGGCATTTTTTCAAACTTTCTTCCCTCCTCTCATTCTACCTCTATGGTGCGCACCTACTTTAGAAATATGTACTGTCTCTTTATATATATGTGTCTACAATTTTTTTGCTACTTGTACTTTAAATGAATGTGAACTATCAATCATTTTTACTTCCCGAGCGTAAGCAAAGGAAGTATTGTAATCGAGTCCGTCGGCCGACTCTCTACTTTTACGTTTTCTCGATCTTTCATGACCCCTAGAAGACGAAGAAATAAAATAGGTCTCCCATTTCCGTCTGTCTGTCCGTCTGTCCGTCCGTCTGTCCGTCCGTCTGTCCGTCCGTCTGTCCGTCCGTCTGTCCGTCCGTCTGTCCGTCCGTCTGTCCGTCCGTCTGTCCGTCTGTCCGTCCGTCTGTCCGTCTGCCGTCCCGGATTTTTATTAGACAGATAATCTCCGAAAGTCCGAAAGTACTCGACCGATTGTTGTGAAATTTTGTACTTATATTAAGAATATCATGTAGATGGTAAAACGCTAACCAAAATTTGTCTAATCATCCCCACCACTAATGCGATGACGTCACTTCAAAATTGTACATAGTAAATGGGTTTTCAATTGTATAAAATAACATAGTCCTACACATGTAGTTTACAACTCTGAATCGACTTTTCACCCGAAACGTCCAGATTTTTGGAAAAAAAATCAAAATTATAAAACAACATTTTGAAATTTAATTTTTAATCTGCTAACCAGAATGCTTTGAAATGTTGCAGATGTTTTAAGGCTATAAAGAGCATCATAAATCTTTAGTCAAAAAATATTTGCTTATCCCCTCCAAAAACTTGATGACGTCAGCTCAAAAGTTTGTGGAATAAATCATATCTAAAATGTACAAAATATGATGAGTCTGTACTTGTGATCTATCACTCCATTCATATTTTTTGGATTTGCATATACAGGGTGACTCAAAAAAATTAATGAATGCGTAAATTTATTTTACTGATTTAATCAGGAACTACAAAACCGAATGCTCTGAAATCTTGCAGATGTTCTAAGGTCATAAAGAGCATAATAAATGTTTAGTCAAAATATATTTGCTTATCCCCTCCAAAAACTTGATGACGTCAGCTCGAAAGTTTGCCGAATAAATCATATCTAAAATGTACAAAATATGATGAGTCTGTACTTGTCATTTATCACTCCATCCATATTTTTTGGATTTGCATATACAGAGTGACTCAAAAAAATTAATGAATGCGTAAATATATTTTATTGATTTAATCAGGAACTACAAAACGGAATGCTCTGACATCTTGCAGATGTTTTAAGGTTATAAAGAGCATAATAAATGTTTAGTCAAAATATATTTGCTTATCCCCTCCAAAAACTTGATGACGTCAGCTCGAAAATTTGCCGAATAAATCATATCTAAAATGTACAAAATATGATCAGTCTGTACTTGTGATCTATCACTCCATTCATATTTTTTGGATTTGCATATACAGGGTGATTCAAGAAAATAAATGAAAGCGTAAATTTATTTTACTGATTTACTCAGGAACTACAAAACCGAATGCTTCGAAATCTTGAAGATATTTTAAAATTATCATAAGCATGGTAAATTTTTGATCAAAATGTATTTGGTCGTCCCCCCTAAAAAATTTATGACGTCACCACAAAATTTTGCTGAATAAATCCTATCTAAAATGTACAAAATATGGTGAGTCTCTTCTTGTGATTTATCATTCCATTCAAATTTTTTCGATTTGCATATACAGGGTGACTCAAAAAAATTAATGAATGCGTAAATTTATTTTATTGATTTAATCAGGAACTACAAAACCGAATGCTTTGAAATCTTGCAGATGTTTTAAGGTTATAAAGAGCATAATAAATTTTTAGTCAAAATATATTTGGTTATCTTCTACAAAAAACTGATGACGTCAGCTCAAAAGTTTGCCGAATAAATCGTATCTAAAATGTACAAAATATGATGAGTCTGTACTTGTGATTTATCATTCCATTCATATTTTTGGATTTGCATATGCAGGGTGAATCAAAAAAATTAATGAAGGCGTGAATTTATTTTATCGATTTAATCAGGAATTACAAAACCGAATGCTTTGAAATCTTGGGAATATTTTAAAGTTATTATAAGCATGGTAAACTTTTGTTCAAAATGTATTTGTTCATCCCTCCTAAAAAAATTGATGACGTCACCCTTAAATTTTGCTGAATAAATCCTATCTAAAATGCAAAAAATATGATGAGTTTGTACTTGTGATTTATCATTCCATTCATATTTTTTAGATTTTCTTAAGATGTGGTTCAAAAAAATTAATGAAGTCAATTTATTTTATTTATTAAATTAAAGGCAACACTTATTAGTATTACACCCCAACCAACCCAATTTGGTAGACACAAAATTTGTTAAAGGAAAAACTCGGTTGAAACATAAGGGTAGCACGCTTATTTACATCGACTTTAACATTACAGACCTGCATTTGTTTTATGCGCTCACTTGGTTCCGCGAATGTGGAATAGACATGTTTATAATCAACCAATTGTGAATTTCACCGTCAAGAATTAAAATAAAACCCAATGTTTTATATAATAAGCGGAAGTCGAAGCAATAAAACCGATGGTCGTTTTGTTTACAGTTTCTCTGTTTGACTCTCACGTATGCTGTTACGCTTGTCATCTTAAATTAAGAATGTTTATACATAAACGATTTTCAGTTGCCTTTCATATTACTAGACAGCGGATTTTTGTCGGGCTACGTCACGTTTAATCGGTACTAATTCCATAAATATAATTAACGATTTATTAATCAAACGGCTAAGTAAATGAGAACGGGAATTAACAGCAGAGTGCAACGAAACAGCGTTATTCTAATCTCAAATAAACGAAGTGCAGTCCGCAACCGCAATGAATTCGCATCCCGTACGAGCCGTACCGAGTTTGGCCTTGCCTAGCCCGACAGAAATCCGCTCTCTAGATATTACACACCGACGCCGTATACGTCAGTAAATTGTTTGGTTATTTTATTGATTATAAGAAATCAATATTCAAAACGACCCAATTCATTTTCCCGAAAATTTGGGAATACAATAATTTTATTCTTAGTATTACACTATAAAAATGTAGATTTTATTTGCATTAATGAACATTGGCTCCATAATGATGAAATTTCAAAATTTTACGTTAAAATCCTTCTTTTGTAGATCCATAACGTGCCATGGGGGTGTAGCCA